GATCTGGCAATAGACACGCCTTTGTGACATTTTCTTAATTGGTGACACATGGGGGGAGGATCCACTCCTGAGCTGGTGGTCCTGGGTTTCTATAAGAAAGCAGGCTGAACAAGCAATGAGGAGCAAGCCAGTAAGCAGCACCCCTCCATGGCCTCTGCATCAGCTCCTGCCTCCAGGTTCCTGCTCTGTTTGAGTTCCTTCAGCAATAGCTTACAGTGTGGAAGTGTAAACCAAATAATCCCTTTCTTCTGCAAGTTTCTTTGATCATGGTGTTCCGTTACAGTAATAGTAACCCAAGATACCACATAAGGGGTTAAATATTATTATTGCATTTACATCCAAGATACATTTCCATTCAGCTTCTGCAAATGGAATTTCATGCCACCACTAGCCACCCTCTCCCCCCACCCCCACACCAGTGCAAACTTTGAAGTCATTTTCTGCACCCTAGAGATTTCTTTGTCTTCACAAGACTGAAAAGAAAAACCCATCAGCCATCAAGGATTTTAATTATTTATTTTTAATTACACAAGCGGCGCTTGAATATGCTCCAGTAGTGAAAAATTCACACAATACATATAAAATGAAAATCTCCCCAGGTGAAGAATCTTAAATAGCTCTGGTTTTAACCTGGCAGTTCCCAGCTGTGCTGTGGGCCAGTTCTGGGGACCAGTAGAGAACCTGTCAGGGTTCAGGGACGAAGGTCACACTTGTATACAGAGAAGGATGGGGAAGTGAAGTGGCTGTTAAGAACTTAGCAACCAGGAACGTGCTCTGAGAATTCATTGTACTCACAAAGGAATAAGAAAGAGGAGAGTTAGCCCCACCCTGTGTGGAAGTCACCTTCTCTCCAATCCAGTGGTTCTCAATAAGTCTCGACTCCTAAGTCCTATCCTATCAGATAACACAGATATTTATGTTTTACGATTCTTAACAGTAGCAAAACTACAGTTATGACGTAGCAATGAAAATAATTTTATGGTTGGGGGTCACCACAATGTGAGGACCTGCATTAAGAGGTCTCAGCAATAGGAAAATTGAGGATCAACCCATGCTGCGTTTAGGCTGGAAGCTTTGGAGACAAAAGACTCAGCATTCTGGCCATATTTAGCTGCAGCAAGTGGGAGGAATTTTGCCAAGTTCATCTTCTGCTCAACTGTGTCCTAATAGCAGGTTTCCCCCTTATGATTCAATAGACCCCTTTATGAATTTGTTCTGGAGCCAGATGGATCACGAGCTTTGAAAGAGGTGTCCAGAACATCACTGCATGAAGACAGAGATAGAAGCTATCTTAGAGCTCACGGATTCTGTCCTTCACCTTGTAGATGACATCATTTGGGTCTCCTGACACAAATCACTTAGGCAGAGAGAGAAGCAGAGTGAAAACACCCAGCCTAGTGCACTGAGGTTCTCCATGCTACTGTGAGTTACCGACAGGACCTGGGAAAGCAAATCTTGGTCCGTATCACCCTTTTCTACCTTAGGCCATTATTGCTAGTGTATCTGATACAATGATGGATGTCTAGTGTCACTCAATGACCAAACAATTTTTGAGTACAAAAGAGTGAACTTTTAGTTATTGGGAAAACAAGTATTCTTACTTCTCTGCCGTCTTGTTTCTCAAAACATGATTATCACCTAACTAGATCAAAATTCTTGGGGATTTAGCCCAGGGAGATGAGGTTTTGTTTCATTTTGTTTTGTATTGCTCGTCTTTTTTAAATTGTCTAGGAATTTGATTATGGGCTTGGAGTTAGAGGATGTGGGCATTATTTATAATTCAGTTAGGTGTACCGTCGAGTGCGGCACGGGTTATGTTGGAGGATATCATTAATCTTAGGGGACACATGCTGACATAGTTCTGAGATACTTGGGGTTGTTATTTGGTCAGGTGTGTTCAACCTGCAGCCCACAGACTGCACACATCCCAGGGTACCTATGAATGCAGCCTGATATAGTCACAGATGACAACATTATATTGTAATATCTGGTTGGACACCTGGTTTAGGTTCGCTTTGGTTTAATTAAATATCCCCCAAAGGCCCCTGTGTTCAAGGCCTGGTCCTCAGGGTGGTGCCTTTGGAAGGTGTTAGAAGCCTTTGAAGATGGTGAGGGTCGTTAGGTTACTGGGTGAATCCTTTTGAAGAAGATTTTGAACCCTTAGCGTCCCCCCTACCCTGCTTTTTCCCCTTGGGTACAAAGCATGTGTTTTTTCTTTGTCAAATGCTTTTGCCATGGTGTGCTACCTCATCACAGACCCAAAGAAGTGGAGTCAATCACAGACTGAAACCTCCCAAACTGCAAGCTTACATCAACCCAATGTCATTAAAAGTCAGTTGCTTCAGGTGTTTGTAATAGCAATAGAAAGCTAACATAGGCACCGTATATGAAGATATCTGTCATAGTCCTTTAGTCCTTTAATGGTTCAGCAATTGTATAGACATGTTTGAGTGGCAGTAAGCATTGCAGGTGAGAGCTTTTTTTAAAAAAAAACTTAGTTATTGGTATATCACATATGTGTTGAGAGCACTATGAATATATTTTCCATACATTTAATTTTATAATCAAATGGCCAGTAATATAAATTCTCCAGGTGATTCTAAACAAATCTTCCTTCTTTCTTTTCTCCCTTTCTCCCTTTCTCCCTCCCTCCCTCCCTTTCTTTTGTTTTTTCAGGACAGAATTTCTTTGTGTAGCCCCAGTTGTCCTGGAATTTACTCTATAGATTAGGCTAACCACAAACTCAGAGATCTGCCTGACTTTGCCTTCCAAGTAGACAGGTGTGTCCCACCATGCCTGGCAATTTTGAGTTTTTTTTTTCATGGTTAAAGAATCATTGATGAAAGAACAAATAATCCAATAAAAAACAGACCTAAACAGAGAACTCTCAACAGAGGAATCTAAAATGACTGAAAGACACTTAAGGAAATGTTCAATATTTTTAGCCATCAGAGAAATGCAAATCAAAACAACTCTGAGATTCCATCTTACACCTGTAAGAATGACCAAGATCAAAAACACTAATGACAACTTATGCTGGAGAGAATGTGGGGTAACGGGAACACTTCTGCATTGCTGGTGGGAGTGCAAATTGGTACAGCCCCTTTGGATGTCAGTGTGGTGATTTCTCAGAAAATTAGAAAACAACCTTCCTCAGGACCCAACAATACCACTTTTGGGTATATACCCAAAGTATACTCAATCGTACCCCAAGGACATGTACTCAACTATGTTCATAGCAGCATTGCTTGTCATAGCCAGAACCTGAAAACAACCTAAATGCCCCTCGACCAAAGAATGGATAAGGAAAATGTGGTATATTTAAATGTACCACAGAGCACTACATAGCAGAAAAAAAATAATGACATCTTGCAATTTGCGGGCAAATGGATGGATCTAAAAGACATTGAGTGAGGTAACCCAGACCCAGAAGGACAAATATACGTGCTCACTCATAAGTGGCTTTTAGACATAAAGCAAAGAAAACCAGCCTACAATTCACAATCCCAGAGAACCTAGACAACAATGAGGACCCTAAGAGAGCAGGCATGGATCTAATCTACATGGGAAGAAAAAAAGATAGAATCTCCTAAGTAAATTGATGTAGACCTGGTAATCTCTGTGTGATCTGTGTGGCCCTTCTTGGTGTTTCATAGAACTGCAGCTCCCTTTCCTTAACAGTATCAGTGAGGTGTTAGTCTTACCTTTCTGAATTGTCTGTCAGACCAAAACACAGAAACAGTGGACCATCCTTGCCATTTTAGGAAGGCCTACAGGTGGCATTGAGCTGACGTGAAGCCATCTACTAAACCAAAGGACACCAAACCTGTGTATCTAGAGAATCTACCTGTAAACTTTCAGCAGGCAGGTGAGGTGTGTGCAGGTGAGGTGCAGGCAGGTGAGGTGCAGGCAGGTGAGGTGGAGGCAGGTGAGGTGCAGGCAGGTGAGGTGTGGGCAGGTGAGGTGGAGGCAGGTGAGGTGCAGGCAGGTGAGGTGCAGGCAGGTGATGTGGGGGCAGGTGAGGTGGCAGCAGGTGAGGTGCAGCAGGTGAGGTTGGGGCAGGTGAGGTGGAGGCAGGTGAGGTTGGGGCAGGTGAGGTTGGGGCAGGTGAGATGCAGGCAGGTGAGGTGCAGGCAGGTAATGTGGGAGTAGGTGAGATAGAGGCAGGTGAGATGGATGCAGGTGATGTGAAGGCAGGTGAGGTGCAGGCAGGTGAGGTGGATGCAGGTGGGTGCAGGTAGATGAGGGGGAGGCAGGTGATGTGGGGGCAAGCAAAATAGAGGCAGGTGAGATGGAGGCAGGTGAGGTGGAGGCAGGTAATGTGAAGGCAGGTGAGGTGCA